AAATTTAAACTAATTTTATTATAATATTTATAATTATATTGAATATTAAGGTTGTTTATAAACAGTTGAGTATCTAATAATTTTAAACTTTATTGAATGATATAATATATTATATGATTTATTGCAGGAAAGATTAAATGCAGAGGCTGGTCTAAAATATGGAGAGGATAGCACTACATGGCCAACAACAGTCGATGCCCAGCTTTTATCCCAAGTTTCGGGTGGACCATCAAAGGATGGGCGATTGTACGGCATGCCTATGTACATGGACCCTGAAGAGCAAGGGGTGTCATATCGAAAGTATCCTCGGCACATTATACCTAGTAATTCTGTTCAATCATCCCAACAAGTGGTGCAGTTACAACAAACCGTAACAGTATTACATGAGAATCAACAGACACTGGAAGAGAAGTTTGAAAGGATGGAGAGAATGCTTTTTATGATGCAGGGAGGGATGCAGGGATGGATGCAAGGAGAATGAGGGGCTGGGACAAGTGGGGGAGCATAATAGGCGTTGCTCTCAGTTGATCTTTGTATCAAAACATCTTGTTCTATTATATATTTTAGGTATGTACGAGATTAAGGCATTAAGATTAAGTAATTAGTATGTTAGGTCATAAATTGTTTAATTATGGTATTAGACTGTGTTTTATATATATGTGTTTCAATTTTAAAGCTTTTACTTACATGTTTTAATATATATTAAAACATACGACTAATTAATTGGTAGAATTGTTTATATTAAATTATTTATAAAATTTATATAAAAAAGTTTGAAACAAAGAAAGCAAAAAGAGAAAAGGTGACAAAATAGGAAATAGAATAACAATTAAGGGATTTCATTAACTGATGTATATATATAGGGATGCTGTTGCTTCCCTAAACTCAATAGAACGAACTGGGGCTCACATGAATTCTAAAGAGGAGATGCACCTTCTGGGATGATTATTTCAGTCAGTGGATATGACCGAAATAATGAACTATTTCGGTCAAGTTTCATGACCGAACTAGTGCATGCATGCCGAACTTAGGTAACCTATTTCTCACAAACATAACCCAGGCATTGCTTGGCGTACTATGGTTGGCTTGATTCGGTCATAACTCTTGACCGAAATAAGCAAACATGTGGACTAGTTCGGTCATAATCCTTGACCGAACTAGTGCATGCATGCGCAATTGTGCTTGACGAATTCAAAACAAAAATAAGCGCATTGGGTTTAGAATTATGCATATTTCGGTCATCATTAATGACCAAAATAAGTACAAAAAAATTGCCCCCCTCAGAATGCATGGCTATGGATATGCTTATGCATATTAATTCGGTCAAACATATTGACCGAATAAATAT